TTACAATTTGCCAAAGAGCACATTGACTGGCCTAAAGAGGAATGGCGCAACATTTTGAAGACTGATGAAAGTAAGATTGTTCTTTTTGGGTCTAGTGGCCGGAAACAGTTTGTCAGACGACCCCCAAACACTGAATTCAAGCCACAGTACACTGTGAAGACAGTGAAGCATGGTTGCGCAAGCATCATGATACGGGGATGTTTCTCATACTACGGTGTTGGGCCTATTTATCGCATACCAGGGATCATGGATCAGTTTGAATACATCAGAATACTTGAAGAGGTCATGCTGCCTTATGCTGAAGAGGAAATGCCCTTGAAATGGGTGTTCCAACAAGACAATGACCCCAAACACACCAGTAAACGTTCAACATCTTGGTTCCAGACCAACAAGATTAACGTTATGGAGTGGCCAGCCCAATCCCCGGATCTTAATCCGATAGAAAACTTGTGGGGTGACATCATAAAAAATGCAGTTTCTGAGGCAAAACCAAGAAATAGAGAAGAACTGTGGAATGTAGTCCAATCATCCTGCGCTGAAATACCTGTTCACAGGTGCCAGAAGTTGGTTGACTCCATGCAACACAGATGTACAGCAGTTCTCAGAAACAGTGCTTATACAACTAAATATTAATTAAGTGATTCAAAGGAAAGCAAAATCTTCAAACATTTTTCAGTTTATATAGTGAATGTTTGAGTTTGTAAAGAAGAATACAAACACTGCAATTTTTTTGAACAGTCTAATATTCACTTTTCTTCAATTTGTTTTAGAGGAACAACACAAATTTGATATATTTTTCTTCATGTTTTGATTTGGAATAGAATGTGTAGTGTTCCCAATGCATTTGTGTGTATGGAAATAAAAGTTATTAGAAGGATTTTGAGCTTTATTCACTTTTTTCAACACTCTGCTATTAATTTTGAACACAACTGTATGTCTTGGATGTGTACAGATGCCAAGTATTCCCCTGTCTCAGGAAGTCAATTTCCGACTTTGCAGATTACATGCAAAATTTGAAGGTTTTTTTGTTGAGGCTTTATAAGTGCAGAATAAGACGAATACCCCCATGGAGCATTGGTACTATTAAAAGGTTTGAATAGAATTCTTTGAACCTGTCTCCTGGCCAGGGGCGGACTGACCATTTGGAAACTCGGGCACTGCCCGAGGGCCCGGGGTCAGTAGGGGGCCCCATGAGATGCCCCTGGTACCTTTTTCATAGGCTTTTTTGAGTTTGGGCAAGGACACAGGGGCCCCATGAGTTGTCAGTCCGCCCCTGCTCCTGGCGGTACTCGCACAACTGTTTCCAGGAACAAAAGATGGTTCAGGGCATTCTGTAAGTCTGACTGTCCTTGGGCTTTAAGTCTTCTGCGCATGTAAATGGAGATTAAAGCCATTCTGGAAATTTGTGTCATCACATATTCTGGGGCAGCCTTTTCAGCCATGGTTTCCAGGCACCCTAGGGCGCCTTCAAGTATCTCCAGTATAATTTACGTCCCCCACCCTTCCCTCTCTCCCCACATCCCCTACCTCCACCACAGCTCCTGTGGCAGATTCTTTAGACTGTTTATAATTGAAATGTCACGATATCTGGGCTAAAAGGACCAAAAAATATTTTGTCTGTATACCATTATGTTATGGTCTGCATAGACCTAGTACAAAGTTGTAAAAAGACTTGTACTGTTTAACCATTTTGACGCTTTTGTTTGTTTATGTGAGCACATATTCAAAAACCAAAGAAACATTGAATAAAAGAAAACTACTGTTTGTCTGCTAGAAATCCTTTCTGCTAAAACTGAAAAACCTTCTTTTTGGGCTAAAAACAGTACCTCTGCTGCACTGAAATCCCAACTAGCATTGTCAGCTCTGCTTGCTGAACAATAGAACTCTACCTATCCTTCACCTCTTTCTTTCCAACTCCATTTGAAAAATTTGTCTTCCTAAAGCCAGCTATACAGGAATTGAAATTCGGTCAGCTCAGCAGGGAGAAATTTTGATCCATGTATGGGCACCCTGATTGTGTCAATCTATTGATTGACTTTTGTACAACCACCCAGTAAGGTTTTCCCTAATAATCAGTGCTACTGGCTAAAGCTGGCAACACTGATCATTGTGTTCTGACATCGGGAAAGGCTTCCTACCATGAGAACACAAAAGCACAGCAGAAGTGGTTCCACCATCCACCTCATATGTGTGGATGGGGGAATCCAATCTTTTTTTTTTAGTTTAATCCACTGGTTGAATGAAAAAGAAAATGATCAATGTATGGGCTGCTTTACTCAGCAAAACAATGCTGCTGCCATGATTCCCAAGAGCCTGCCCACACGCTATGTGTGAAGAAAGGGCTCATGTGAGATATATTTCTGGGGTTTGTCATTGTCAATAGGATCTGAGCTTATACCAGTTACCCCTGCTACAATTTTACAAGCCCTGTAAAGCCCTCACATTAAGTAATAAAAGCCTTTTTTCTACAGGAACAAGGCAAAAGAAAATATAATGTTGGTCATTTTCTAAGGTGGAGTTAGGGGTAGATCTGAGTAATGCCTGGACATGCATTTAAAAAACAAGGCAAACTGATCTGAAGCCAGTCTGTGAATAGCCTGTTGTAATCCGAACCACACTGAAGCTCACTATTTTTACCAAAGCCTTAGTTGAACACTTAAGTAACTCAAAAAATATAACATACTTCACAGAGGTGTTTTTTACTTGAGTTTATTAAAAAAAGACATATCAAATGTATACCATTATAACGATAGTGCAGACAGCCAAGAGCCGCAGCAGTAAACAGAGGGCTTAGCAAACAATCAAATTGAAATTTAACAGGTAGGTAAACAGAGGTTCAGAGAAATTAATGAAATATTGATTTAGATTGATTATTCTCAGATTAAACTCTTGTTTAGATAAAATATAGTATTCCTCTAGACCATACAAACATTTTCTCCATCTTTTGTTAATACTAAACTAAAGATTACAAAATTATAACCTGTACCTGATTTTATTTTGCTTAGTTGTACTGTATTCTAAATTCTAAAATGGGATATATTTAGGCTTCGGACTATGGTTTTCAAACTTTGTCTAAAACATGGCCATTTTCTCTGGGTCCTGCTCACTCATGAGTTTTAAGAACTGGGACTGACCAAAATACAATCAGGACAGTCCAGAGATATGGAATGGGATTTCCTGATAATTTTATATAAAATAAATATATGTGGCCTTCATAATAGATATCGTAACTAAAAAAACAGCAGAGACATGCAACAGCTGGCAAGAACAAATGTTATCACTTAGTTTTTTGTGCTTCTATCAAAGTGGTTGACAAGCAAATACAAAGTGTGAGTGTAAAGAATATCTTCTACTTCGAAAAACGTAATATTGTGCATATCAACTGTAATGGTTCACAACAAAACGTTGTTTTAACAACCCCTATTAAATACAATTATAAACATATGGAAGCATGTAATGTACTGTAGGTCACAGCAAAATTACTTTCAGGTGAAAGTTACATACATAACCTCAAATGTGTGGTAATTAAAAAATACACTACAGATATCTTCCAAATACGTTTTACAAATGTTGGAATTTAAAATTACCCCCAGCTCAAACCCAAAGGGCCACAGTATAAAAGTGTCTGCATTGCTTCTGAGAATAAATCAGCTAATGCAGGTCAGAAAACAAGCAAGAAGTAATCAAATGGCTGTTTCTTACTAAAGAAACTTTAATACACAAAGCACTTAGTTTAGTGGTTACAGTTCAGTGCATGAGTACCGCAATATGTTTACAGCAAGCAAGCTCTGATTTGCAGTGTTGAAGTAGAGCTATAGGCAAAAGATTTTTTCATTTTGGAAAGAGTAAAAGAGGGTCAGTTTATTTTTTGCAAACTGTGTCCCATTGGAGAGATTTCCCTTCACTTCCTGTCCCATAGCCAAAACAAGAAGTAAGAGAAAGTCCCTGCTAATTAAGGGAATTCCTTGGGGACCCCTAGGTCACCAGAACAAGTGTCCACATTGGAAGATTTCCCCTCTATTACTTTTCAGGGGACAACTTAAAATTTGAGATTTCTTTTACTTTTGATGATAATGGTAAACAGGACAAATAGAGAAGGTGAATCTCCCTAACGGGGACACAGACAGCAATAAAAACTAAAACAGGTGTCCTAATCCCTCTCCACTCTGTCCAAAACAGAAAAAAAGAGTTTTGCCTTTAGTTATACTTTAAGCTGCTTTAGACATATAAAGGTAACTGTACACTCCTTCCACAGGACATATGATGACTTCTGATTGTTTAGGAAAGATTTTGATGGATTCATAGCACAATAGGGCAGTGTAAAAGTGCAAACAGTTGCAAATGGTAAACAGGGGCTAATGAATGAGTGGCTAAAGAGCATCTGCAACATGTACTTGACAGTCTATATGCATATCAAATGAAATGGATAGTTCCAAGGTCTGATCTTTTCCCTTAGGTATGGACAGCCCACTGAACTCTGGACAAGTAGCAGAAGGTTGAATAAAAACACCACTAGAAGTTGATTATGGTATCTTCTAGGTTTGCTGATGCATGATGAGCAAGATTTCATAGCTTGGTGGTTTTATACTTGACCTGGATATGGCAAATTGTATAAAGGCTAAGCTCTAGCACTTGTTTCCTAATCGAGTGCTTACATTGCAGAAATCCAGGAAACAGGCAGATAGCTATGTTTACCTTTGCTAATTAGATTCAGGAGCCTTTTCACCCAAAATGCATATGCACAGTTTTGTGTGTTTTGAAAAATTCCTTAGCAAATAGCAATAATAACTGAAAAGTTAACAAATGCTGTACCAAATTATTTCTGCTCAGCAAGCAAAAATTAACAAGAATCAGACAGCATTTTCTCACCTGCAGAATCCGCATGGAGGTTCTCCATTTTTTCATCTGTGACCTACGCACTATTATCATAAAAAAATAACGCATACAATATAGGTCTCCCGTAGGGTATGGCCAGCATTATATTAAATACATCTTTGCATTTACCAAGGAGAATCACAACTACTCTTGAAAATAGTATTTTCACTTTTTTCCTCATCTTGGCCCATTAGCCAATTGTCCGTAAACTGTACAGAAGACATATCATCATTTGATGACTGAACTAATTTCTTATCATCAAAATCTAGAACATCTAATTCCTTAGAAGACCAGCTTCTTTGTGGCTCTAGTGGTTTAGTGTGGCTGGCAAAGTGATTACTGTCACCTTTTGTGCTTACAGTCTCAGCTAAATCCATATCTATGTCTATTAGACATCCTTCGCTATGATTGTTGTTGTTATTGGAATTTGAGGATACATCAACCTGAAGCAAACTTTTGTTGCTTTGTAACACCTGAAGGTGGAAAGCGGCAGGAGCAGACTTTTTTCTCCGTGGTGGCACTGCTGGGATAAATGAATTACATTCAGATGTGCAATTATTTTTGGTTGTTGAAAGTATCTTGTCACCTTCTTTATTTTTTACAATTTGAGAAGGCAGCATTGTCCTTGGTTTGGGTATTGGGCACATTTTAAGAGTTTCACTTGTGTCTGCAGTTTCTACTTCGTGCTCCTTTTTTGAAATCAATGCATTGGTTGAGACGTCTGCAGAGCAAGCAGTGTCCACCTGCGCCTCTGGTCTGGATGTCAAAAGAGCTGCTGAAATAGATACATTGTTCAGATCCAATTTAGGCCTGTCTTCAAGTGTGCTAATTGAAACTGTAGACTCAACATCAGTTTCTGCCTGTTTTGTAGGATGGGTTTCCATACACACCACCAATATTTCACCAGGCTGCAATAGGACAGGATCACTTATTCCTGATACCTCAATTTTTTCAACAGATGCAGATAACATATTAAGATCTGAAAGTTTTTCTTGATCAGCCAAATTCACTGATGGCTCTGGTTTTGGTTTTGGAGGTACTCGTGGAGGAGGCCTCAAAGGTATTAAACCATCTGATGCTGCAGCATGATGTGCCAATTTTGGAGGTACTTGTGGCGAGTTCTTTTCACTTGGTGGCTTAAGTTGCTCTGTCTTCTGTTCTGGATTAAGTAGCTTTGCAAAAAGATAAAGTGTTTATGTAAATTAAAGTACTGCCAAACAACTTAAATATTTAATATGCAGAGAAAAATAGGAATTTTAGCTTTCCTGTAAATTCCATTTCTTGGTGTACAGTACAGGACTGGGATTCATAGACCATTGGTTATAAGAGCTTCCCCTAGAGCCTACCCATATAACCCTGCCATCTTCATGAGGCTCCAGTGCAAGCAATAAAAAGTAATCAAAGAACTGAGGGGGAGGGACCTGTGTCCTGTAGTATAGTCTAAGGAAATTACAGTCAAGTCAAAATTCTCATTAACTTATACAGCACAGGACTGGAATTCATAGACAATGAAATCAGGGGTGTCAGACCAGTGGCCCTCAAGCTGTTGCCAAACTACAAGTCCCATGAGGCATTGCAAGGCTGACAGTTAAAAGCATGACTCCCAAAGGCAGAGGCATGATGGGACTTGTAGTTTCACAACAGCTGGAGGGCCACCAGTTTGACACCCCTGACTTAAATAAAACTGAAGGCATAGTAACCTGGAACTGCCAACAGGCCCACAAAAACATGGGTTAAAAGAACCTAAACAACTTGAAGTGCCTTGTGGCTGAGACTTGCATCAGCTGAGGCCTAAAAGTCCACCTAGCAGAACCTGCTAAAATGCTAAATACTAAAAAGCCAAGGAGACACCAAAAGTCCTGGTGGAATGGGCTCTGATGGGAAAGGGAGGAATATTTTCCTTAAGGGTGTAAACCCTGGAAATTATTTTTCTGATCCACCTGGCAATAGTGGAGCAGAAAGCAGGGAGTCCTCTATGAAGACCTCCAGGAGGAACAAATAAGGACTCTTGTTGTGTGAAAAATGGCCATGCCTGCCAAGTAGACTCTGACAGCCCTTTCCACATCCAAACAATGTAAGGGAATTTCATTGATGTGTTACCTTGTCCTTGTACAAAATAAGAAAACGCTTTTTATAATATAGAGCTGCTAACTTGAGAAAAACGCCTACAAGATGTGATGGCAACCAAGAAGGCAACCTTAAAGGTGAGGTTTTCCAACTGATTGTCTCTAACTGGTTCAAAAGGGTGGTCTCAGAGAGCAAGGTGATACAGGCGGTTAATTTGGAGAATTTATATGAGCAACTCCCAGTAAAGAATTGTGATGAGATTGGGTTCTGAAGAAGGATGGATAAGGCAGAAACATTTGACTGTTGGGCGTATTCAGGGCCAGAGGCTGTTCAAAGCCAGACTGGAGAAAGACCAAAATACAAGTGATAACATTTTCCCTGGAGTTAAGCCTTCTGCCCGCCCACCCACCATGCAAAGAAGGCCTTTCATGTGTGATGGTAATTCCATAAGTAAGGTGGGATTAACCAAACCAGAGATAACCCTGTTCTTTAGGGTTTTTAAAGCCATGCTATTAAATCCAGTAACTGAGAAGCAGGATGGAATAGGGAGCAGTGTCATAATAGGACATAGCTCCAGGACAAGAGAACATCTATAAACCTGAGCGGTATTCTGTGTTTTCTGTAGGCCGTCTGCAGAAAACATACTATTCTGCACTTTTGTCCCAGCTCTCTTGTGCCTTTGATCCACCATTATTGGAGAGGGGCCACCAGTGGGGTACACATGGTTCAGGAGTGTGGAACAGATGGGGTTTTGTCTGTGTAGAAGGAGCCACTAAAACCCAGGCTCTGAGCAGGTTCCTGTGGCTATGTCTCTGTAGAAAATGTCCACAGGAATGCAGCAATTTACTGCATGCATTCTAGGCTGAAAAATGTGGGTGGAAACATGTAATTTGGAAGGTGTGACACAGTTACAGTACCTTATCCTTCTGAGGCTAAGATTAGATAGCATGGTAAAACCAGCAATTTACACAATAAAGTGAACAACACCCAAAACATATGTCCACTAAACCATAGAGTGTGCTAAGACCTGTGAACAGTGTTGCTTAAAGTAAGGAACTGGAGTCTGTATACAAGGAATCTTTGCCTTCTGTTACTTATGATGCTGGGTTATATACGGCCCGTCACAGTGGGCATACCCCTGAAGGGGTTTTCACAGTCTGGTAACCTTAGAAATGGACCATGGCCCTGGACCTGTATAGCACCCTGCAGCCAACTTCACATGTTGCGTTTCATTCCAAAGTAAGTGCCTAACGCAGGTTCCAGTGCCCAGAGCAAACATCACAGGCGGGCCCCATGTATCTGGAAACTGCTATTTAGCACAAGGCAATAAGCATTCAGATGTTGATATAAGATTCAGATAAAATTTAAAAAAGTCCAATAAAAAAGAAATACCCCTCCAGAGGAGAATAGGTCTATCGGGAAACTAGCAAAAAATGTAAGTCTTACAGAGTGGGTGGTGCTATATTAGTACACTCTACTATATGCTGGAAGCAGCATATAACCCATGGTCTATGAAACTAGTCCTGTGTCCTGTACTGTACGATCAAGACACAATGTGCTTTTTGTATCAGCTTTATGCAAACCATACTAAAATATAATCTAGAAAACATTGATGTTCTTCATGTGTGTATACTTTTCCTGATAGATAAAAACACTAAATGTATGTATAGTCAGGCATTTTATATTGGTATTAACTGAGTGGAAAAGGCTTAAAATCCTTTCTTTAGTTTTTTGCTATGTCCCAGTTGGGATATTTCCTGTCACTTCAAGTCCTATAGAAATAAAAAGGGGTGACAGGAAATTTCTACAAAGTGAGGAGAAGTCCCCTCTTACATCTGTCACCTAAGCAGTTTCCTCTAAAGGGGTTCCCTCTAATCCAGTTCTGGTAAGAACTTTCAAATTTTGGATTCCCCATCACTTTCTGTTCCTGTTAAAATGGTCCCCCATTCCAAATAGGATAAATCTACCCAGCTAAAAAACATTTTGGCTACACCTATACATACACTTTTTACTCCAGATTAATATTCTTTCTAATAAAAATTTCTAATTTGAACCTATATTTTTAAAATGAACCTTGCACTAAAATGCAAGTACACAGCGCCCCTTTCCCTTGTCTAAAAACATTACATGAACGCTGTAAAAAACGAAACACCTCTGAACAAAGTTAGAAAACATACCTAGCCAGGTTCCAGTAGAGAGGATGATATAAATCTATCCAGCAATCCTGGGAATGTGGAGAATCCCAAATCTCAAAACTGTCATGCGCTGTGTTAGAACAGCTCCTTGAAAGATTTGGGATATTTGATGTTCCCAAAATCCAAAATCTTGCCAGAAGGAATGTTACATTAACCTCACTGAGGGACACAAAAACAGCAACTGGGGATACAGTAAGTAATTATTTTCATGGGTGTTTTGTTTTTACAACATTGATGTGGCAATTTTAGATGAGGGAGTGGGCACTACTGTATGTAATCTGCTGAACTTTGCCATTTCAATATTGTTTAGAAAACACAAATACAAAATACAAGATAAGCTGACTTACAGATTCTGATTTGACTCCAGATCGTTGTAGAGGAACAGGTCTGGGACCTGGCACTTTTGGGGGAGGCCTGTGGGGTAACAATACAGTTTCTTCTTCTTGTAAGTTTGCCTGTGGTGCTTTCACGGACATGGCTTTAGGTTCCCCTTTTGGAATACTTGGGTTGCGATTAACACTAGTTTTTAACTCCCCTTCATGTTTTTCTAAAATGGAAAAAAAAAAAGAATCCTCTTATTGCTTTAAAACTCTAATGGGTATAACATACACATGACAACTTCCATACTGTAAAAATTACGTGTGTACAGGCACTTTAAGACCTCGTTCACACCATGTGCAGACATGACTTTTTCTGCATGTGTTCTGCAAGGGCACAAAGAAAACAATTGTTTTCTATGTGCCCTGTTCATACCATAACACTGGCATCATGTGTGTATTTTTTGCCCAGGAATCTGCAACCTGTATGCAGTTTTTCTGCGCAGAAAAAAAAAACTGATGTGACATCAACATTGTAGTGTAAACAGGGCACATAGAGAACAATTGTTTTTTGGGCCACACCCACATGAAGTTTGGAGGTCTTTAGGTATTGACTCTGCAGACAGTTGGCGACTTCTGCGCACTGTGCGCTTCAGCATACGCTGACCCAACTCTGTAATTTTACGTGGCCTACCACTTGGTGGCTGAGTTGCTGGTGTTCCCAGTTGCTTCCACTTTATTATAATATCACTAACAGTTGACTGTGGAATATTTAGTAGCAAGGAAATTTCATGCATGGACTTATTGCACAGGTGGCAACCTATCACAGTACCACACTTGAATTCACTGAGCTCCTGAGAGCGACCCATTCTTTCACAGTGTTTGTAGAAGCAGTCTGCTTGATTTTTTACACCTGTGACCATGGACTTTGGAACACCTGAATCCAATGATTTGGAGGGGTGTCCCAATACTTTTGGCAATATATATATATATATACATACCCATACACACACACCAACCAATGCATTCATTTTTTAATAACAGGTCCAACAAAGCTCACCTTTTTTGGATTCCATTAACCATTTAATAGCTTCCTCCGCTTCTTGTGCATTAGTAGTTTTAATTTGTTTTACATTGTAAGGTTTGCTTATCCCAGTTTTGTCTTGAGGCTTAAAAAAACAGCATACAGTATAATTACAATGAGATGTAAATTGCATGAAATTGATTATCTTACCTATGGCCATCTCAAACTCACATTTCTAACTTTCAAATCAAGCTTTTATCAAAATCTTTCAAAATTTACATCATTTTCATATACATGGATCAGGAGTTTTTATTTTTTACTGTCATAGAACATTAACTCACAAGGTCTTTCGTTTTGTTTTTTAAACAGATTAACAGAAATAGACTCTTATGTCAATGAAAAAGCCAATCTCCACAAAGTAGATAAACTTAAAGAGAACCAGGCAATCAGACTGTGAGGATCTGAATATTCAAAGCACAATCATATTATTTTATTTTAATATATTATAATTCAGATCCTCTGTGTTCTTGTATTGGAGATATTCCCTTATTTGCTATCCCTGTGAAACTTTGCCATACCCCTAAACACAGTACAACCTGTTCTGTTGGATTATCCTTATTCTGAGAAACATCTAAACTGTGTTAGGCCATGATGACGGTTTGCAAAACCATGCTGGCTCTATATGTGAAAAGTAAAAAAAAAAAAAAAAAATCACATTAAGAAATTAGTGAAAAAAAGGGTGCTAATGCGCTTGTGGATGTAACAAATATTTCCACTACTCAATTGCAGCAGTCCTAAATTGTGAACTTAATATCACAAACTAATAAATAAATATCCATATGGACCATGCATAATAAGTGCACAAATCTGCATAAATAGTATAAAGTAATAAACAGAATAAAATAATTCAGGCCCAATAAGTAAAAAATTGGTGCAGAGTGCTGATATTCTTGATTGTGAACTCCTTTTACAATACAAGAGATGCTCCACTGTGCTCAGAATAGTGCTGCACATGGACTGACATCACCATCATCCAATGGCCAACTATCTCTAAGACGGTCGTTCGCACTTTTGGGACTATCCCAGTAAGACAGTGTTGCTAATGGAAACCACTTTTTCCTCCAAGTGAGCTCTATCAGTCACCAGCTCTCTCTCTTCTCTATAGGCTCCACAGGAAACTGGCTATTCCCCAGCCACTAGCATGACCAGGGAAGTGATGTTAGAAAAGGGCCCACATTAAGAAAAATTATTTATTGAAAAATAGATTACAGGACCATTGAGTAGTGAATGTTAATGGATTATTTATGGAGACTAGGAATATTGTTTAGCATCACTTTAAAGTGGTAGTAAACTCTTGTTTTTATATTTTTTACCTACAGGCAAGCTTATAATAAAGCTTATCTATAGGTAAAATGATTATCTCCTAAATGTGCACCGTTTAGGAGATATTCTACAGAGCAGCAGCCGGTGACATCACTGGTGCATGCACTCTGAAGGAACGGCATACCCGTGCCATGGCTGAGACTCCCGCACGCATTTCATTGGCAGTTGGGCCATTTAAGCAGCTGCAGTCTGGGAACCTGGAAGGAAGACCAGGTGAAGATGGAAGCGCCTACAGCGGTGACAGCGTGCCGCTGGAGGGCTTTGCTCTAAGGTAAGTCTTTCATAATGTGCTAGTAAATAAACACTACTATGAGAAATCTGACTATATTTACACCCATAAGTTATTACTGCAATATAACTCTTGCTTCTATAAGGCCCTAATATGAACCTAAAAAAAAAACAGAGATTCTTTGCCATTATTGAATTGTGGGCATAGTATGTGTAAAACTGAAAACTTGACAAGAACAAAGGTTTAGACTTACAGGATGCTGGGGAGGAGCTCCAGGAAGAAGCTTCAATGGTTGTGGAATGGACATTGGAATGTTACTTTCTGTAAAAACATTAATTTAAATTTAATTGTTTAGATATAACACAGAACATTCAAAATAGGCTGTATATTCTTGATAAAGAACCTCAGCACAGTGTTTTTACTCTGACCAGGAGAACCAGGACAACGGTGCTGGGTCGGTACAGCTTTGTGCACCAACTGGCTTCCTACTTTGGCCAGCACCACAAGCAATCACTAGGACAACACAATTTTATAAGTCTAGCTGGTGCTTTGCTTGGTGTTCAATGTGTCCACATGCTGGCAGCCAGACACTCCAGGGCCTCCAAGCATTTTCACAGGAATCTGCAACTCTCTGCTGCTTGTTCCTCCTATGATCTTCAGAGTATCCTGCTCCTGTGATCCTTGTACTCTCCATCCTGTATCCTCTGTACCTGTGACCCAGTGCACTCCAGCCTGCATTCTGCTTCTGTGACCCCTGTATACTTCAGCTTATATCTTGCTCCTGTGGCTGCTGTATACTTTAGGGTGCATCCTGCCTTTGTGACCCCTGTGTGTTCCAGCCTGCATCCTACGCCTGTGACCCTGCTAATTTCATCCTGCAGTCTGTTCCTGTACTCCATAGACTCAAGCCTGCATCCAGTGTCTCCCTGTAATCCCATGCACTCCAGTCAGTTTACTCTAACACCATGCAAGCAGGACTCCGCTTCCTATGTTCTGATGTTTCTAACACCCCTGCCTGCTTAAGACTGTACCCACTCCTGCTTTCATTGTTCAGGAGCACCTGTGTAACAAACAACTATTTCCTATATACCTGCAAACAGTTCCCAGTAGTTGCCTGCTCATGTGAATCAGAAGGCACAATGTGGAAGTGGTCAACACTACCCCTTGCGTTGTGCTCTGGTAAAGACCAGATGGCTCCTTAGATTTCATGCCTTGACCCTTCTAAGTGCTCTCACCTTTGCTAAATGTGCAAGCATGCTGAGTCCTAGTTCTTTTTGTACCACCCATGCTTCTTTGAGACTCTATTGGTGCCCTGTGTCTCCTCCTTTGCCCACACCACCTCCAAGCTCCAGCTGCTATAACCAAATCCTGGTTAGCCAGTATGCCCCCCCCCAGTGGGAACAGACTCCCATCTGTGACAATTTACTGGTTCTTTGAATGAAAAATGTTAATGGTTTGGTATGATATAGCATTTGAGCCATTCATACAACAGTGCAATATTGTTCTCTAACAACCTTCAATGATTCTGCATACCATTAAATTTGAATATATATAGATATAGGTCCTCTTACTTGGAGGGGGTGGTCTTTGTGGTGGGCGTGTACGAGGCCGGTTAGGCACAGACAGTGATCTGTTTGGAGACCGGGAACGTACTTCCCCAGCATCTTCAAGTTCTTTCTTTAGTGCCAGCAAATCTGCATCATCTGGAAATAAAATATATTTACAAAACACAATTTAGAATTAAATTATAACAGATGTAATAAAGGTATTAGTTCCAAAAATTATACATAGCTGACTTAAACCAGCATAGACGGATCGAAATTCGAACAGTTCATCAGGAACCAGCTGAATTTCGATCCATCTATGGGCAGGCTGGTTGTACTGAAGTCGAGCTATCAATTGACTTCAGTACAACTAGCCAGTAGAGTTTTTTTTGTGTGATCACTGGTGATGGCTATAGCCGTATATCTGTGGTTGAAGAAAAGAAAATTGCATAATGTATGGCTAGCCTTAGAAACCTATGCACCTAACATAGAAGTTGTTTATGCAAGATACATATCATCTATGTTTTCCAAATACAGAATGGTTTCTCATTATATGGAATTATATTCTGAGTAACTAAGGAGTTAAAGGCCTCTATTGCATAAGTGAGTTTTCATGCCAAAACACAAAAATGCTGCTCTCCTATGATTTTCAGAGACCGATTTTTATTATTCTGCAATATAGTAATGTTACAGAAAAACATCTGTATAGTTGAACCATAACAGTCTTGAGTTTCATTCACTGAAATCTCTACATGAAATATGCATAGAAATACTGCCTCTCATTGGAACCACAATCTTATATATTATTATTATTATTATACAGTATTTTTATATAGCGCCAAAGGGTTTGCTCAGCGCTGTACAATAGCAAGGGGGACAGAACATGAGACAAGAGAGAAACAATACATACGAGGGGGTTCGAGGGCCCTGCTCATATATCTTCAGTGGTGATAAGCTAGATATAAATAATATAATTATATAATAAACTAACTTTTGTTTTAGAATTATTGATAACTAAATGTGACAGACCCAACTGGGACAGAGGCTTTGGAGGGGACTAGGGCTAGCTTTCTACCCACTGAATATGGCCCATGGAGGAGACCAGGGATTTTGTCTGCTTCTCCCGGTCAGAGCATGGAAAATAGCTCAGTCCTGATCCCATGGAGAGCAGATAATGCTCTAATGATGGATAACAACGTGATGAATGCTAAGAAAGAGGCTTGCATTAATTATCTGAATAAAGACAATAAAGCTTCCCTTCTGGAGTGGATGGAAAGGGTGTAATATTAATCTTGAACAGGTTAATGGTCAGAGGAAATATGGGGGTCCTCCTGCAGACTGAGTTGGAGAAGCTCCTCCATTTGGGATATAAATATTTAACAACAATCTCGCTCAGGAAATATATGAAGATAAATTCATTTCACTTTTTCAGACTACTGGAACATTGCACGAGTTTTGTCTTATGGTGACTTTTCTAGTGAACAGATTATACAAGTGAAGGCAAACACCTGAAAGACAGCATGTATAATGTACTTTTTTATATCCAGGGTTGTGGACTTGTTGCCGGACTGTCTGGGGTGGGCTCCTGGCTGGCCTGGGTGTTGATTAGCTTACTGTTAATTAGATAACTGTTTATTAAGGTAACTGTTAGCTGCTAGCTGTTCATTAGATGTACTGATGATATTACTGTTTAAAGTTTGCATTGTTTAGAATAATGTGATCAAACTCTTATCTGATTTTGTGTGGTATAAATTCTGTGTGAAATTTCAATAAAGTACAGTTCCTGTTTGCATCTAAGCTAGTGTTGTCTAGTTCTTGGGTGCAATTACCCAGCTATAATACCTTGTTCCTGTGTTCAAGCAGTGGGGAAGCAGCTCTCTGGCAGACGCACCCAGGCGGGGTGCCAAGCGGTCCATCACACTAATCTTACATTCATTATAGTCATGACTAGGTTTTATACATTTTGTTCAAATGCTATAAGTTTAGTTTTACAATAACAGTCTACAATTGTAAACGGCAACAATGTCCTACATTTCAAAAATTAAAGTATAGAGCATAGAGGGAAACAAATATCACAACAGCCCTTTGCTTTGCTTCTACCTTTAAATGAGTGAGGTTTCTTAGGACTCATATAAGAAGCTTTAGTTGATGTACATGTTGCAAGCAGCTGTTCATTCCCCATGCCATCACTTGCTGCTGACCTGTCAGTTATTAGATACTGAGGCATAACATCATCAGAGTCATCTTCCAAAATATCACCTGTAGAAATTTAAAGATGCTTTCAGCTATATAGCAGGCATTTTATAACATAGAATCCAAACAAAACAGAAGCAGTGTTGCCAACCCCCCAAAGCATTTTTTTGTGACAGAGCACATTTTTTACGGACAACCTGAAACATGATGTGAAAAAGACAATCAATATTTGAACAGTATAAACACAATATGGATACATATAACATTTGACTAGTTTACACTTACAAATGTCAACGCAGCATGACAAAATGATCAGCCCCTGAAATTTAAAGACAGTTGTAAAAATCACTAATTTTTACAAACGGTCAGTAAATTTACTGATGGTTGGCAACTCTAAACAGAAGGCAGTTATTGCGTTTTAAATCTGCCTAGCAACAAGAAGAATAAAAATTAAAAAAACGCATAAAAAAAAGCAACAAAAACACGACAAAAGCAAGTGCAAAAATGCAATACAGAAACGGCTCAAACTCAACCTTCTAAGGTGTGAACCTAGCCTTAGTAAATAAATCGCTGTGCGTCTTACACTTCAGCATGTTGTTGCTATGGCCAACTAGTTTCTCTGTTAACATATATTCTACCTAGCCAGTCTCTGTGCTCCCTTGCTAATCCCCAGTCTTGCCATGTCTGGGTTTTGCTAGGACATAGCAAGCATATATGTTGATCTTATTTGTAGTATTTTTTAGCATCATCTACACTTAAAACTGTGTAAATGACTGCTCTCTGGCTGTTACACATAATATTTAAAAATAATGTTCACTTAATGTGTGTCTAAATTTCATACACAATTTATAAATATGGTTCCTATACACAACAGGAAAATAATCTAGCCTCTGGTGTCTAAGAAGCTGAATAGCACTGTCTTAAAACACTCGGTAAAGGTTAAACATTAAAGCATATGTAAGCAATTCTCTTTTTACCTTCTGATTCATAGTCCAGACTGGAAAAATCAAATGTTTCCTCGAGAAGACAGGAGTTGGCATTGGGTGACAATAATACTACACTGTCTCTATTCCGAGCAATTTCTTCCTGCAGACCCTGCAACCAATCTTCTGTCTTTGGCCTTATTTTTACTGTTTTGCCATTCACCTGTAAGAAAGAGGATTCATTTTGTCAAGTAAATTAAGGTCCTGGTGCCTAAGGGCCAGTTCACACTACATTCGTTTCAGTTGCTTTTTATTCTGCATCCAAAATGCACAGAAAGTAAGTTATATGGTTGGCAGTGTCATAGTTTACATTAGTGTTTGCAGTTCCAGTATGTTCCGGTTTGCAGAAATAAAAAGTAGAACAGGCTGCATTTTTCCTGCACAGAACTGTACTGGAACGCAGTAAAACACAGAAAAAATGCACCAAAATGCACCAAAAATGCACATGTCCCTAATTAAATTGAAGAAAAAGAGAGGGGAAAAACAAACTGGAAAGCATCAAAAACGCACCAGAATGAGTCAAACGCATAAAAAACGCACATGCAGAACGCATCTGAAAGGCGTTTCTAGGGTGTGAACCAGACCTAAAGGATAACTCTGTTTCATGGGGAAAAATACTGCAACTTAAAAAAGAAAAAAAAATTATATAACAATTGCTACACAAGCCATGTTGTAATTTACTGTTATTAAAACTGACCTTTTCTGCAGCTGCTGTTATTTTCTGTAAATTCAATACAACCTTTCCTGCTTGTGTGATTGGCTAATCAAATTTTAGGGACCCACAACAACAGAAATGTCAGTTTTAATGAGATACTCCCCAAGAGTTAAATACTTCTGAAAGGATGCAGACCTTGCAGCTCTTCTCATTAGAACACCAAGAGTGCACCAGATGATTATAATGAACCACTCCATCCCGTTCAGAATCAGTTTGCAAATGACAAGTCCCTAATACCACTATGGGGCAAGGAAACTAAGGTTGCCTTCAAGGCTGTCCTTTAACCTCCTTGGCGGTCTGATTCTTTCCGATTTTTTGTGCTGAAAGCGGTACCATTTTTTTGCATTGAAATATGTAGTTTTTTATTGTAGGCTGTAATTTTTAGGAATAACTCACTGAAATCTGTACGAACAAGAGTCTAGTAAACATTCCAGATATGATAAAACTTGAAACACGAAATCATAAATTATAATTTAATAAATAATCATAAAAAATAATAATATAATAATAAATTTAATTCAATAATATAATCAAACCAAAAACACTGAAATTTGAAATACAGAGGCAAATTTGCACATCGCTGAGCTCAGTCGCAGAATCGTTTTCAGTGTCTGATGATGAATTTCCCCACGTATCATCACTCAATTCTGCAAGTGGTTCTGATTTACTATCGCTGTTCTCTAGCTGGTCTAAAACCGCTTTTGACGTAAAGGGACGCTTTTTGGACGCCATGGACTTTTCTAAGTTTCCAGGCAGAAAGAACAGTCAAAATGCAGGCAGGGCACAGGACAAAGCAGTAGGGACAAAATGTATGTGAAATGCATTGAAACAGCAATGACAGCAAAAAGGACATTTTAAAAAATTTCAAACTTGCTGCCGGTTCCAGCGCCCGTACGTCCCGACGTCACAGGGACCGGAACACGGAAGCCGGATGCTGGCATCGGCCGGAGGAGATGGCCGGGGACGCTGCAGGGGACACATCGCGGGAGCGAAGGAGAAGGTAAGTGCTGCAGGGACTCCCTATGCAGCGCCACATGGTACGCCCGAGTGTAGCTCGGGGTTACCGCTCTTGGTACTCAAATTTTACCCCGAGCCACACCTGGGAAAACCGCTAAGGCGGTTAAAGTTCTGATTGAGCAGAGGTGATAAATGTTTTCCTAGTCCAAAGCAATGGACATCTTCACTTGTCTTTACAGGTTTGCCAAGTGCATTTATTTAACACAGTTAAAGTGTGTCTAAAGCAAAAACCCTTTTTAGTTTTGGCGGGAGTACAAAATTATTTATGCCCCCTCTGAAGCTGCGTTCACACTTGAGCATTTAGTAGCTCGAAGCCTGAAGCTCCAAAAAAAAGCTCAAACTTAAAAATAATCAATTGTCCTCTCTGGTGCCTGTTCACACCTGATCCCATGAATAGGCACCATAGAGAACAATTGATTTTTTAAGTTTGAGCGGTTTTGGAGCTTCAAGCTTCAAGCTTCAAGCTACTAAATGTTCAAGTGTGAATGCAGCCTAAGCTTTCTTTTTGCTCTCTGTGCCCTGTTGAAAAATTTGTCCTCAATTCCTGTCCCAGAGACGCAACTAGAAATAAGAGGAAATCTCTCTAATCCTAGGTTCACACCTAAGACTTTTCTGCAGCATTTTGCAGAAACGCACTACAGACCATTTAACATGATTTCCTATGGGACAGGTTCACATCTCTGCGTTTTTACCCGATGCGTTTTTTGGAAAGGGTCAGGGACTTTTTTAACGCAAAAATGTTGCATTTTTGGTTCTATAGACTTCAATGAGAATGTGGCAGAAAAGCATGTATTGGGTTTTTGCTGAGTTTTGCCTCGTTTTTTGATGCGTTTTGCATTTAAAATATGCTTAGCAACAAGAAAAAAAACATAACCCCCCCCTCGCAAAACACATCAAAAACCTGGCAAAAATGCAACGCAATACGCAATGCAGAAACGCATCAAACGCAACTTGCATAGGCATGAACCTAGACTAATGCAGTTTTCACCGGAACACATGTTCCCATCAGAAGATTTCACTCACCTTCTGGTATAATTATAATATTTTGGATTTCCTATCACTTTCATTATTGCAGACAATTGTTACCAGGACAAATAGAAAGGGTTTATCTCCCATGTGGGGACAAGAGTAACAGTAAAAACTGACAGGGGTTTAAAAACTTCCTAATTTGTTCAAATAATTTGACAAAGGTCTGCATTGAAATGCACTTTAACCTCCCTGGAGGTATTCCCGAGTGTAGCTCGGGGTAAAGTTTCAGCACCACAAGCGGTGACCCCGAGCTACACTTGGGAATACCCTGCAGCGTTGCTCCAGGATCTCTTCTGCACTTACCTTGTCCTGCGCTCCCGCGATGTCCCTCCTGCAGTGTCCCCGGCAATGTAATCCGGCCGATGCCGGCATCCGTCTTCCGGGTTCCGTTCCCTGTGACGTCAGGACGTACGGGGACAGAACGGCAGGAAATTTAAAAATGTCAAAAAGTGACATTCACTAAATACACTAAAATCACATAGTAAAACATTACTGTATCAAACCATTTCACATACATTTTGTCCCTAGTGCTCTGTCCTGTGCCCTGCCTGCATTTTTACTGTTCTTTTTGCCTGGAAACTGAGAAATGTCCATGGCGTCCAAAAAGCGTCCCTTTATGTCAAAATCAGTTTTAGACCAGCTAGAGAACAGCGATAGTAAATTAGAACCACTTGCAGAATTGAGTGATGATTCGTGTGGAAATTCGTCATCAGACACTGAAAACGATTTTGTGACTTTGCTCAGTGATGTGCGAACTTGGCGCTATATTTCAAATTTCAGTGTTTTTGGTTTGATTATATTATTGAATTAAATTTATTATTATATTATTATTTATTTATGATTATTTGTTAAATTATAATTTACGATTTCGGGTTTCAAATTTTAACATACCCGGGATGTTTACTAGACTCTTGTTCGGACAGATTTCAGTGAGTTATTCCTAAAAATTACAGGCCTACAATAAAAAAACTATATATTTTACATTGCGCACAGAAATACTGACCTAATCAGACCGCTAGGGAGGCTACAAAGTACCAATAATTCTGTCAGTTTAGGATACATAATTTTAAAAATGATTATAGTGAAATCTATTTGTGCATTGAAATAGCACATCTCTGTTTAGAAATTCTTCCTATAGGAAGAGTCTGTATACTCTTGAGTAAAAGTTTGGAATGAGTTTACTTTGTGAATATCGCACGTTTACATAAATAAAGCAGACAACAAGATGCTGAAATTTAGCTTTTAATACTGTGAATTGCAATGCCTGTGTAGTTCTTTTAAAATAGCTTGGTACACTGGAACAAAACTGAAACTAAAAAGTCAGGCATAAAAAATTCCATGTTACTTTGGTTTGTTTGGTAGACACTGTGACTCAAAAAAACTAATTTAAGGGTCCTTTCACATGAGCATTCCGTTTTTTTTTCTTGAGTTCAGTAACATTTTTTCAAAGAAAAAACAGATGAGTTTACATTCATTTTTTCATCTGTTTACATCTGTTTTTTCATCTGTTTACATCTGTTTTTTCATCTGTTTTTCATCCGTTTTCATCTGTTTTTCATCCGCTTAGATCCGTTTACATCTGTTTTTCATCCATTTACATCCTTTTTTCATCCGTTTACATCTGTTTTTCATCCGTTTACATCCTTTTCATCTGTTTACATCCTTTTCATCTGTTTACATCAGTTTTTGGTCAGTTTACATTCATTTACATCTGTTTTTTATCGTTCTGGGTTTTTTTGCGGAAAAAAAAATAGGTTTTTCTTCCGTTCAAAAAAAACGGATGTTAACGGATGTAAAAAAGATGTTCATCCGTTTACATCCGCAAGTCCATGGAAATACATGGGGGTCCGTTCTTCATCCGTAAACGGACAGATGAAAAACGGATTACGGAACACCCGTGTGAAAGGGGCCTAAATTGAAACAGACCAAATTTTCTACAGTTATTTTGGTATTAATGCATACTGTTAATTGATAGAAATTTGTCTGTTTACCTTTAAACCATCAAGATCAAGAACACTTAAAGCTGTCCTGCTGTCTGCAAATGTGATCATCATTTGTCCCCCAATCACCCTAGGAATAAAAACAATAAGGTGTGTAATCACAATATACAAAAACGCCCTTTTCAACATCCCTTACAGTAGAACTATAGGCAAAACATTTTTTTTTGGAGTAAGGGAAGGTTATAACCCCTGTCAAATTCATTTTTGCCATCTGTGGCAGTCCTACAGCCCAAACAGGGGGTGAGGGAAAATCCCTACAAATTAAGAGAATTTCTTGGGGACCCCCTGGTCACCAGAACTAGTGTACCCATTAGAAAATTTCCCATCTATTACTGGGGACAACCCAAAATTTTGGGGTTTCTTTTACTTTCACTTTTGATGATATTGGGAAACAGGACAAATAGAAAGGGTGAATCTCCTTAACTGGGGAACAGACAGTAACAAAAACTGACAGGTGTTCTAATCCGGATCCATGCTATCCAAAACCAAAAGGTTTTGCCTTTAGTTATACTTTAAAATGATTTTATTGAGCCTGAAAACAGCCTAAAATGTGTAGATGCAGGTACAGTAGCCATATACATTATTTCACATTCTACATTACTGATTTTAATAAATGGAGTCATTTGGTTTTATATTTTTATTCAAGTGTTTAATCAGAAAAATCAAGCAAACAACCACACAATACTCTGTGCCAGTGTGGGGACCATCAGCTTGGATGCCATTGATATGCCTTCTACTCCTCATGATTCTGCCAGTATTTAGATTTTAGTGTACTGATGATATATTTGAAGTAACTGTAAAAGAGAAGTATTTGTCCTACCATCTGTAGATAGACTCTATTGGTCATACCTGATCACTAGTACCATCAAACCAGTAAGTATAAGACAACACCGACCTGATAAAAGGAAAAAGAGTAGTGGGAGACAGCTAGTTCAGATAATCTACAGTGCCTTGAAAAAGTATTCATACCCCTTGACATTTTCCACATTTTGTCATGTTACAACCAAAAACGTAAATGTATTTTATTGAGGTTTTAAGTGATAGACCAACACAAAGTGGCACATAATTGTGAAGTGGAAAGAAAATGATAAATGGTTTTCAAAATGGTTTACAAATAAATATCTGAAAAGTGTGGCGTGCATTTGTATTCAGCCCCCCGAGTCAATACTTTGTAGAACCACCTTTCACTGCAATTACAGATGTAAGGCTTTTTGGGGATGTCTCTACCAGCTTTGCACATCGAGAGAGTGAAATGTTTGCCCATTCTTCTTTGCAAAATAGCTCAAGCTCTGTCAGATTGGATGGAGAGTGTCTGTGAACAGCAATTTTCATGTCTTGCCACAGATTCTCAATTGGATTTAGGTCTGAACTTTGACTGGGCCATTCTAACACATGAATATGCATTGATCTAAACCATTCCACCGTAGATCTGGCTGTATGTTTAGGGTCATTTTCCTGCGGGAAGGTGAACCTCTGCCTCAGTCTCAAGTCTTTTGCAGACAGGTTTTCTTCTAACATTGCCCTGTATTTGGCTCCATCCATCTTCCCATCAGCTCTGACCAGCTTCCCTGTCGCTGCTGAAGAAAAGCATCCCCACACCATGATGCTGCCACCACCATGCTTCACAGTGGGGATGTGTGTGATCAGGGTGATGTGCAGTGTTCGTTTTCCGCCACACATAGCGTGTTGCTTTTATGCCAAAAAGTTCAATTTTGGTCTCATCTGACCAGAGCACCTTCTTCCACGTTTTCTGTGTCCCCCACATGGCTTCTCGCAGACTGCAAATGGGATTTCTTATGGCTTTCTTTTAACAATGGCTTTCTTCTTGCCACTCTTCCATAAAGGCCAGAATTGTGGAATGCACAATAATAGTTGTCCTGCGGACAGATTCTCCTACCTGATCTGTGGATCTCTGTAGCTCCTCCAGTGTTACCATTGGCTGACTAATGCTCTCCTTACCTACCTGTCAGTTTAGGTGGACAGCCATGTCTTGGCAGATTTACAGTTGTGCCATACTCTTTCCATTTTTGGATGATGGAATGAAAAGGGCTCCGTGAGATGTTCAAAGCTTGGGACATTTATTTATAGCCTAACCCTGCTTTAAACTTCTCCGTAACTTTATCCCTGACCTGTCTGATGTGTTCCTTGGCCTTCTTGATTCTGTTTGTTCACTAATGTTTTCTAAAAAACCTCTGAGGGCTTCACAGAACAGCTGTATTTCTACTGAGATTAAATTACACACAAGTAGACTCTATTTATTAATTAGGTGACTTCTGAAGGCAATTGGTTCCATTAGATTTTAGCTACAGGTATTAAAGTAAAGGGGGCTGATACAAATGCACACCACACTTTTCAGATATTTGTAAAAAAAAATTTGAAAACTATTGATAATTTTTCTTCCACTTCACAATTATGTGCCACTTTGTGTTTGTCTATCATATAAAATCCCAACAAAATACATTTATGTTTTTGGTTATAACATGACAAAATATGGAAAATTTCAAGGGGTATGAATTCTTTTTCAAGGCACTGTAGATAACCAGCGTTAGTATGCTACAGTGGATATACAAAGTCTACACACCCCTGTTGAAATGTCAGGTTTCTGTGATGTAAAAAAATGAGGCACTGTAGATTATCTGAACTAGCAGTCTCCCATTACCCTTTTTCCTTTTATTAGGTCGGTGTTAATGTCTTATGCTTACTGGTTTGATGGCACTAGTGATCAGGTATGACCAATAGAGTCATGAATACTTTTTCAAGGCACTGTATTGAGTTATTGATGAAGTAAGATGACAGTATTGTCCTTAGACTGGGCTAGCAATTATTTTTTCTGCTTTGGAAAAGGAGAATGTCAATTGAAATTGGAGATCTACTTTAAATTTTTGGAAGGTTCAGTGTATGGAATTCCCTGGCACAGTTCTCTTTTCCATTTCTAAATAATGGAACATTTAAAGGGAAATTTTATTTGTTTTTGGTTAACTTTGCTTTTTGAAACAATATTTCATTTTTTTTTCTTTAATTGCATTTTTCCAAATACACATTTAATAAAGGGTGCTTCCATGTTTCAGTGTGTGAAATGCTTTTATTTGTGGTCCCCCCCCCTTTCTCTAACTTACCGTACAAGTATAACAGTGCCGTAACTCTGAAATGTCTGTACAAGCTCTGTACTAACGTCTTCAGGGAACTCTGCTTTGTCCTCAGGTGTTGGTGAGTCAATGTGAACCTCCACAGTGGCATCTAGAGGTCCCTGAGAAGAGGATATTTCCTGAAATACTCTGTCTCTGGAATTTACATCGACCTCCTGAACTTCCACTTCCACAATCGCTAGCACAGGTCTGCGAAACAATGATTGCATAAAGGTTACAAACTCCAGTTGAATAGCTATTGTTCTATATAACATAACAATATCAAATACATGTCTGGGCTAGTATTACCCCGTTTGCACCATTAATTCTGTCTTTTCTACTCACAAACATGTAAAGCTACATACGTTATAAAGAAACGGAATCAATTCAAGACCTCTGCCAAATAAAGCTGTTCTCGTGAACCTATAATACTGTTCATATGAAGTGCATGAACATTGTTCTCATTGCCAGCACCTCTCTTCAGAAGGTAGGAGGCGCAGCAGATCTGGATGGACGACTTTTCACGTTAATAAGCAGGTGATTGGTTGCGAGGACACAGGGCAGTCCAAGCAACCAATCACTGTCTTTAATGTGAAAGGTTGTGCAATTTCTGTCCTTGTTCCATACCTGCTGCACCTCCTGCCCTGCTGTGTAAGGTAGGACAGTGAAGGGGGGCACTGGGATGTATAGGGGGGGGGGGACTGGTATGTTACGTGGAGAGTGATGTAAAGGGGAGAACTGTGATATAAAGAGATGTACAGGTGGCGGTGCAATATGAAGGGAGGACTGTGATATAAAGAGATGTACAGGTGGCGGTGCAATATGAAGGGAGGACTGTGATAAAAAGAGATGTACAGGTGGCGGTGCAATATGAAGGGAGGACAGTGATATAAAGAGATGTACAGGTGGTGGTGCAATATGAAGGGAGGATTGTGATATAAGGAGATGTACAGGTGGCGGTGCAATATGAAGGGAGGACTGTGATATAAAGAGATGTACAGGTGGCGGTGCAATATGAAGGGAGGACTGTGATATAAGGAGATGTACAGGTGGCGGTGCAATATGAAGGGAGGACTGTGATATAAGGAGATGTACAGGTGGCGGTGCAATATGAAGGGAGGACTGTGATATAAGGAGATGTACAGGTGGCGGTGCAATATGAAGGGAGGACTGTGATATAAAGAGATGTACAGGTGGCGGTGCAATATGAAGGGAGGACTGTGATATAAAGAGATGTACAGGTGGCGGTGCAATATGAAGGGAGGACAGTGATATAAAGAGATGTACAGGTGGCGGTGCAATATGAAGGGAGGACTGTGATATAAGGAGATGTACAGGTGGCGGTGCAATATGAAGGGAGGACTGTGATATAAGGGGCAACGGGCAGAAGTCTGTGATATGAAAAGGGGACTGGGGTGTAAGAGGCAGGGAAGACTTTGATATGAAGGGAGAACTGTGATGTAAGGGAGGGGGGGATGGGACTTTGATGTGAAGAGATCTGTGGTGTATGGTGGGGGGGGGGACTGTGATGTGAAAGGGGGGATCTGTGAGGTAAGGCGGAGGAGGCTGTGATGTAAGGGTGAGGGGGACTGTGTAAGGAAGGGAGGACTGTGATGTGAAGGGGACTGTAGTGTAGAGGGGAAGAATGGGGCCCGTGATGTGATGGGGGCATGAAGACACCCATGCAAAAGTGGAAGAGGGGATTGTAATATATAGGGTGGTCTGTGATATGAAGGGAGCACTGTGGTATAAGGGGCGATGGGCGGGGGTCTGTGACATGAAGGGGGACTGGGATGTAAGGGGCAGGGGGAAATTTGATATGAAGGGAGGATTGTGTTGTAAGGGCGGGGGGGGGGGGGGACTTTGATGTAAACTCGACTGTGGTGTATGGTGAGATTGTGATGTGAAGGGGAGGGGGTCTGTGATGTAAGGTGTAGGAGGCTGTGATGTAGGGAGGGCTTTGATTTGGAGAGAGTACTGTAAAGGGGGGGGGGGGGTCGTGATGTGGAGGGGTTTGGTGAAAAGGGGACTGAGGACAGCAATGTAAAGGGGGGACTGTGATGTGGTGATGTGAAAGGGACACAGATGTAAAAGGAAGGGGGGGCTGTAATGAGAAGGGAGGACTGTGGACACTGATGAAGAGCTTATTCACACTTATGCAAAGACCTGTGTTTTTCTGCACTGGAAAACACAGGTTTCTGAAACGGCATATACAGCAATGGAGCCCTTGCATTCTGAGCATTGCAGTGCAGAAAAATGCATACTGTATACATTTTTCTACAATGGACCAAACCTCATGAGAAGGCTCCAAGTACTGTCCATTTCTAAGCACTGCATCCAAGCTGCAGTGCATAGAAATCAATGAAATGTAATTTTCACAATAAAGTTGAAAGAAAAAAAAAAAAAAACAGTGTAACACACTTAAACACACACTGCACCACCACTTCCAGGGTGTCACACACACTGCACCACCACTTCCAGGGTGTCACACACACTGCACCACCACTTCCAGGGTGTCACACACACTGCACCACCACTTCCAGGGTGTCACACACACTGCACACCACCACTTCCAGGGCGTCACACACACTGCACCACCACTTCCAGGGTGTCACACACACTGCACCACCACTTCCAGGGTGTTACACTGGTAGGTGCCCGCAGAATAAAATGCAGCATTTTACCATGAGGATCAGGGTGAACAAGCCCAAAAGGAGGGAAGGACTGTGAAGTGAAGGCTGTGATGTGAAGTCATAGCACAAACATGAGATCCGGACTTCTGCTGGACGAAGATTTTACTGACCAGATCTCTGTGAACATGAATTCAATACCCCAGCTATAAAGTAATTTGGCAAGAATTGTTGAATCTAAAAAGGTATAAGTGAGAGAAATTTCTCATGGCATTGTTTTCTCAGGGAGTAACCATTGCATTGAGATGTGTGATAGGCCCCTTTCACACGGGCGTTCCGTTGTTTTCATCAGTTCAGCCATGTTTTAAAAAAAAAAAAAAAAAAAAAATGGATCAGTTTACATCTGTTTTTCATCAGTTTACATCCATTTTTTCATCAGTTTACATTTGTTTTTTCATCAGTTTACATCCGTTTTTTCATCAGTTTACATCCGCTTTTCATCAGTTTACATCTGGTTTTTCATCCGTTTTTGTCTGCTACATCCATTTTCATCTGTTTTTTGTCCGTTCCGTTTTTTTCATCAGTTTACATCCATTTTTTTTCATCAGTTTACATCCGCTTTTCATCAGTTTACATCCATTTTTTCATCAGTTTACATCCGGTTTTCATCAGTTTACATCAGTTTTTTCATCAGCTTACATCAGTTTTTTCATCAGTTTACATCTGCTTTTCATCAGTTTACATCCGTTTTTTTCATCAGTTTACATCTGCTTTTCATTAGTTTACATCTGTTTTTTCATCCACTTTTGTCTGCTGCATCTATTTGCATTCGTTTTTTGGCCGTTCCTTTTTTTTTCTTTTTTCTTTAGTGGAAGAAAGATAAGGTTTTCTTCTGTTCAAAAAAAAAAACGGATGTTATCGGATACGCTAGTCCATAGAAATGCATGAGTGTCCGTTTTTCATCCGTAAATGGACAGATGAAAAATGGACATACAGAACGCCCATCTGAAAGAGGCCTTATTGTTAAGTGCAGGAGCTCCCCTGTGTATCACCCATCACTGGTTACATAAAACCCATTGAAAAGAGTAACTATTGGTACATGAACTCGCCACCTGGTGACGAATACCAGGAGAGATGGTGCAGCTAATGACACTCTACTGGTGTAAAGCACTTGGTGCACATTGTGCTACAGTTGCAAGAAAAAGTATGTGAACCCCTTGGGATTACGTGGAGTTTTGCATGAATTGGGCATAAAATGTGCTCTGAACGTCATCTAAGTCACAACAATAGAAGAACACAGTCTGCTGAACATAATACTACACAAACATTAGATGTTGCCATGGTTTAATTGCACATAACATGTAAACATTCACAGTGCAGGGAGGAAAAAGTATGTGAATCTTTGGACTTAATAACTGGTTGACCCTCCTTTGGCAGCAATAACCTCAACCAAACGTTTCCTGTAGTTGCAGATCAGACCTGCACAACGATCTGGAGTAATTTTGGAAAACTCCTCTTCACAAAACGGTTTCAGTGTAGCAATATTCTTGGGATGTCTGGTGTGAATCGCTCTCTTAAGGTCATGCCACAGCATTTCAATCGGGTTGAGGTCAGGACTCTACAGACGCAGTATTGTCAACATGAACATCAGCAAGTCATTTCTAGTTTGAAACATCTACAGCCTATCAATGTATTAATACATTTTATTCAAAAATAATCTTGATATACTGCAAAAACAGGAAAACAATACAATATTTTTGGTGTTCTATAGCTGATATTTAGAAAGAAAAACTCCCAGCACTTGCATGTGCACAGTTCATAGCATGCAGTATTACTGCTGTTATCTTTTATTGTTAACGCACCAACATGTTATACATTCAATTCCTGCTGCAGTTAAAGTGTTACTAAACCCAGGACCCTGCATTCACTATATCCGGTCTCCCACAGTACACAGAACATAGAAATGCAATCATTTTAGTAAATATAAACTGCTAAATACATTTTCTCATCAGCAGTTAGAGCAGTCTTGTGACTTCTATCAGTGTTCAGCAGAGCACTGGTTAAAGCTTGTAGGAGGAGTTTTCTTTCTGCTCTAGGAGGATGAAAAACCCCTGACCTCTGTCTGGACAGTGCCGATTGGCCCTGTGCTGATCACAAGCACTCTCCCAAGAACAAAAACAAAACAAAACCTCTCCAGCCATACACACCAAACTGAGCATGTGCAGAGTGTCTCCACATGCTATGTCTTATCAGGAGATAAAAGGGAGACATACAAAGAAACAAACAGATGGCACACGGGCCTAGTGTATTCCCTTCTACAAATGAATTTATTGTATAAAAAAGTAATATACTCTCAAAAAAATTCAAATCAAAAGTCACATCATATGAAAAACAGCATGGTCCAATCTCCCTAAAAGGTGTCTACTAGTATGGGACTTCAAATGGCTGACGCGTTTCGAGGCTGCGCCTCTTCCTCAGAGCCAATACCTACACAACCTGCGTTCTCTCTGAACTAGCTGCCGACCGCAGATAGCCGAATGACGGCTGCACTGCGGCCGGCCAGTTCTGGGTGGACGTCATATGACGTCCTCCTAGAACGCACTCTCCTGCACGCCCCAGGGGGACGCGCACCCGGCGATCTCCGTGATTGCTGTGTCCTACGGACACAGCTGATCACGTGATGTGGTAAAAGGCCAATCACAGCGGCCTTTTACCACCTGATCAGCGGTGTCCAATGACACGCTGATCAGAGGGAAATGCAAGTGCCGGTTCTCGGCTGCACTTTCCTCACGCTGTCAGATCGTGAGGAAAGTACTGCCGAGAACCGGCAGTTGTCAGAGCGGGGGATCGGCACCGATCATCAGGGCACTGATGATCAGTGCCCTGATGATCGGTGCCCAGCATTGCCACCCGCAAGTTCCGCCCACCTGTGCCCAGCAGTGCGCCCACTAGCTCCGCCCACCTGTGCCCAGCAGTGCACCCACCTGTGCCCAGCAGTGCACCCACCTGTGCCACTCTGCAGTGCCACCTACCTGTGCCCAGAAGTGCCACCTACCTGTGCCCAGCAGTGCCACCCACCTGTGCCCACCCACCTGTGCCCACCAGTGCCACCCACCTGTGCCCACCCACCAGTGCTGCCCAACAGTGCCACCCACCAGTGCAGCCCAGCAGTGCTGCCAGTCAGTGCCACCAGTCAGTGCCCAGGGGTTGTGCCAGTCAGTGCCGCCAGTCAGTGCCCAGCAGTGATGCCAGTCAGTGCCGTCTATCAGTACCCATCATCAGTGTCACCTATCAGTGCCGCCTATCAGTGCTGCATATTAGTGCCGCCTATCCGTGACACCTCATTAGTGCTGTCTATCAGTGCCGCCTATCCGTGCCACCTCATTAGTACTGCCTATCAGTGCCCTTTAGTGCTGCCTATCAGTGCCCATCAGTGCCGCCTATCAGTGCCCATCAGTGCTGCCTCATCAACGCACATCAGTGAAGGAGAAAAAATACCTGTTTGAAAAATTTTATAATAGAAACAAAGAAACTTTTTTTTTTCAAATTTTTTACATTTTTTATTTTTAGCGCAAAAAGTAAAGCGCCCAGTGGCGATTAAATACCACCAAAAGAAAGCTCTATTTGTGAGAAAAAAAATTATCAATGGGTACAATGTTGCATGACTGCGCAATTGAGCTGCCACAATTAACCCCTTACAGGCTGAAAACCGCTGAAGCTGATGCTGCGGATCACTATGGGTTGCAGGATCAGGTAACCCCGTATAGGTTCAACCTATATGGGGTTAACGGATCTTGCAACCCATAGTGATCCGCAGGATCAGCTTCAGCGGTTTGCAGCCTGTAAGGGGTTAACTGTGGCATCTCTGTGATAAAGTCAGAGATCCGCGATCGGCTTCTTTGGCCTGACACCGGCTTATGCGCAGTCGCTTCTGGAGATACATATCTTCACGGGATACTCATTTTACAGGGGGCAGCTGTCACTGTGCCAGGAATCCGGGATCACCCCAATAACTGTCCAGGACCTTCACAGAGCACAGAAGCTCTGCTGGCATCCTGCTCCTGCATCCCCTGTGATGGTGTCACCCGGTGCGGCCCGCACCCCCCTAGGGACGTCACTGCTATGAAGCTGTTGTCACACTCCACGACCATCCCATAACAGATAGGAGTACCTGTGATCAGAAGCTGGAATCTCTGCTCTACCATAATACATCAATGCTCCGGGGGTCCACGTGTGCTTTATCTTCATGCTGAAATCCAAATCATTGTCTAGAAGATTAATGTCTCCAGCTATATGAGGATTTTGAACACATATGATACAAGATGTTAATGCATCGTGGTTAGTAAAAATTCCTAAACAGGTATTTATTATGTCAGCAAAGCAGTGTTGTCCCATGTGAAAAGTGACACACAGATAGCAAAGCAAATATCAGGCTACTTTCACACTGCTCTGCCGCAAAAACACAGCAAAAACACATAGGCATTTTTACCGCGCTTTCTGGGCATTTTTTTAAAGGACACGTGACTTATAAAACTGCACCAAAACAGCTTCTCAGAGGCGCTTTTCAGGCATTTTCCATTGATTTCAACGGGAAGAGGCGTTTTTGGGGCATTTGTTTTTTAACTCCCTAAACATGCCCCAAACATGCTGCAAACAGGAGTTTTTCCAACGCACCGCAAGCGCAGCACCTCAGTGTGAAAACAGACATAGATATACATTTACATACACAGAGAAGCAGTTTTCTTGAGCTTTTCAGGCGCTTTTTTAAACGCGAAAGCACTTGACAAAAACTCAGTGTGAAAGCAGCCTTACATCTGAACTCCAGGCAAACAGCTAAATACAAAACAGAAATAGAGATCTATTAACTGTGTTACTTGCCACATCTACTCCTGTCCACCATTGTGAGATATAGACATCCCTCTACACAGCACAGCTGGCCTGGTGACCTGAATTTTCCTTCTACAGTTAAAGTGGAGCTCCACCCAAAAGGGGAAGTTCCGCTTTAAGGCTTCGTCCCCAGCTTCCTGTTATGGATTGGTACCTTTGGGGAGAGGGGGGAGCGGGTACCCAATTTTGACTGGTACCCGCTCCCACTTCTGCTACGATCACCCCCCCCCCCCCCCGCCTGCAGTCCTGTCGGACATGTGACAGGTCCCAGAGGACTGTGGAACCATTCACAATGCGCAACGCTGCTCGCGCATGTGTAGTGGGCACAAAAGTTGTCACAGCTGGGTGCCCACACTTAAGATGTCGGCAATGGGGACACAGAATGGCCGGTGAACCCGGCTGCGGTGAGGACACCGCTGGATCCAGCAAAAGGTAAGTGGCTGTTTTTTAAAAAATTCAGCAGCTACAGTTTTTGTAGCTGCTGACTTTTAATTTTTTTTTTCAACAAAGACTGCAGCTCCACTTTAAGCAGCAAAACTAGGTCTTATCCCAACCTCCAGCCTGTTAATGGACAATAAAGATGCAGCAATAGACTAATGAGGTCATCTCTATGATCTCTTCTGCTCTAACATGTTTCTTATCAGCACATGATCATAATGCAGGACAGCTAACTGGCCTTCAGTGCTGCCCCTCCATCTCCCAGTCTGGGATCTGCTGTAATGCACATTTGATGAAGCTGAAAACACGCCATTATATGTTTCCTTATTATTTCATTTTATTTTTTAACTAAACAAAACAACGTTCATTGGTGTCCTTTATATCTGCTTAAAGGTCAGTTTTCTGCTGTTTGTTATCAAGGGTAATTAAAGCCACTTTTCATAAGGTTGTCATAAACTTTGCATGTTATTTGTGGCCTTGATCTGCTTGTTAAAAGATCCAACATTTCCAATAATTAGGATCAGTTGATTTCTCAAGTGTCTAAATACAAAAACATAATTCTGAAAAAATTCATATTTGAACGAAAAATGTGTTTATTCCATTTGCTTGCTATTTTTTTTGCATAACTAAAAGATTTAAAGATGAATTCCAGGTATGGATATTTCATACATGGCTACATTGATCCAGCTGGGACCAATGTAACTATGTATATACTGTACTTGGCTGATGCCCCTAGAAGCTGGAAAACACTGAAATAGACACCACTACTCCAGCAATCTAGTTTCAGGGTCCCGTGCTGAGTGTTGGCACTTCTGCTTAGTAAACACAGGAGGTCGGCCTGTATTCAGAGAACGCTTTCCATTTTCTGAATGACTAGACGCAGGGCAAACTAGGTGGCTGCCTATGGGTCACTGCCACCTAGGGGCACCTGGGCACAGAACAGGCCGACACTCTCTCTGTGTGGGACGAAGCCACGTCATGATCCGCCAACTGAGAGGAGGGGCAACAGAGGGGGAGGAAGCAAAGACAGAGGAAGATCTGGAGCCAGTGTGGCAGCTGAGCTTCAGCTCTTTCCAGTATTTTCTCTCAGACTCAGTCCCTTACTACAAGCTGGCTGGCGGCTGCTGATCACTGTGGAGTTCCAGCCCTTCTCTGTGGAGGAAGGTAATGTCTGACATCTCATGTCTGTGTGAGTGTGACCCGGCTGGCCATCCATCACATGTGCAATGTATCAGTGAGTGATTACATCATTACGATCCCAAAGCCTGCTCTTCTAGTGCCTGCTGATCTTACATAGTTACATAGTTAGTCTGGCTGAAAAAACCCACAGTTGATCCAGAGGAAGGCAAAAAAAACCAGCAAAGCATGACTCAATTTGCTCCTGCAGTGGAAAAAATTCCTTCCTGATCCCCCGAGAAGCAATCGGATATTCCCTGGATCAACTTTACCTATAAATGTTAGTACCCAGTTATATTCTGTGTATCTAAGAAAGAAACCAGGACTTTTTTTTTTTAAAGCAATTAACTGAGCTGGCCAGAACCAACTCTTGAGGGAGTCTATTCCACATTTTCACAACTCTTACTGTGAAGAAACCTTTCCGTGTTTGGAGATTAAATTTCTTTTCCTCCAGACGTAAAGAGTGCCCCCTTGTCCTCTGTGATGACCTCATGGTGAATAACTCTACACTGAGTTCACTATATGAACCATTGATGTATTTATACATGTTGATCATATCCCCCCTTAATCTCCTCTTTTCAAGAGAGAATAAATTCAGTTCCTCTAATCTTTCCTCATAGCTGAGCTCCTCCATGCCTCTTATCATTTTGGTTGCCCTTCTCTGTACTTTTTCCAGTTCCCCAATGTTCTTTTTTTTTTAATTGGTACCCAAAACTGAACTGCATATTCCAGATGAGGTCTTACTAATGATCTGTATCGGGGTAATATGATATCTCTCTTTCTCTCTGGAGTCTATACCTCTTTTAATACAAGAGAGGATTTTGCTCACTTTAGAAACTGCAGCTTGGCATTGCATGCCATTATTAAGCTTGTGATCTGTGTCAGTGTTGGTGGTGGTGTGTTGTGTCGGATTTGTCACTGTGTGGGATCGCTCAGTTCAGGTGTTCTGTGTGTGCATGTGTGTGCATGTGTGTGCGTGGGCTGGGCTGCCTGTTGTCACAGCATTTTATCTCCCTCCATTGCCTGAGGAATTCCAGCCTGGGATCTGTGGGAGTGTGGCTCCATCATCCTCCACTCACTGTAACAGTGACCCTGCCATTGCCAGCCACAGATACAGTCCATCCATGACACTGATTTTGTCTTTAATATTGGTGCTGGTGGCATCTTATAGCACTTATTTTTGCAAATTATATAAAATTTGGCAGTTTCATGATTTGTTGGTTTAATATTTTCATCTGTTTTTACATTTTTATTATACAGGCAGTTAGGAAACATCTCTCCAGTGGGCTTACAGACAGAAATAAAAATAAGACAGAAGTTCCACACTCTATCCAAAAAAATACATTAAATTAATTTAGTGTACCACATCTGTACATACATGCAAAGCCAAATAATGTGACATTCGGCTTATGAAGCCATGCACTGTTTTCTTTGTACTGTTGTTAGTCCATCCAATACTATTATTTAAGAACGTGAGGTTATTTCAGAGAAACCCAAGTAATAACCCAACTGTATGACTAGTTTACAGTACCTGATTTCTCAAATGGTAATTTCTTTCTCCACCACAATACTCTGTCTGTCCATGCTGGCGTTCTACACTTTTCACTTGTGTCATAAGCCTCTGATCCAATGTCATACTTGTAAGTTGGTCCGAAGTGGATAGTACCTTCATAGAAGTTTTTAAATATCTATGGGCAAAACATATTCCACGGCTGATTAAAAAGACCTCTCTAAAGTTTGTAGAACTGATAGACATTTGTAAATAGCTACTAAATGCAGATTTTTGGTTAAAATAATAATAAAAAAAGGTAATATGCAATATCATTATACACAGAGGACCCTTACCTCTTTTTCTGGAATTCCGCGTCAGTGCTGTTGATTCTTCCTTTCTCCAGGTGCCCCCTTAGCAAGCCAGATGCTAAGGAGACACTTGCGCACATGTACTTCTGAACCCAGCTGTGTGCTTCCATAGACCCATGCTGGTAAGCCATGCCCCCAATCCCTCTTCACAGGTGTTTGATTAAAAAGACCCCTCTGAAGTTTGTAGAACTGATAGACATTTCTAAATAACTACTAAAGGCAGATTTTTGGTTAAAATAATAAAAAAAAGGTAATATGCAATATCATTATACACAGAGGACAATTACCTCCTTTTCTGAAATTTGGCGTCAGTGCTGTTGATTCTTCCTTTCTCCAGGTGCCCCCTTAGCAAGCCAGATGCTAAGGAGACACTTGTGCACATGTGCTTCCGAACCCTGTTGTGTGCTTCCATAGACCCACATAGACCCACACAGTGCTGGTAAGCCACGCCTCCAATCCTTCTTCACAGGCGTTTGACTGACAGCAGCAGAAGCCTAAGGCTCCAGCTTCCTCCGGCATCTCCTGTGAAAGCAGGAAGCGAGGGGAGCGGTGCTGCAGCCAGGACAGCGCTGGAACGGTGACAGGGGTCAGGCAAGTGGTTAGAGATGAGGGTGGACAGTAGTAGAAGTTTTTTTTTTTTTTTTTTTAAATGGTAGCAAACACATTTAAAAAAAATGGGCCCCCTGCAGGGTAATGTCACAATATGTGTGAGTATAACCTGCGCAGAGGACTGATCAATTAGACTGGCTGCTGCTAGCAAAATCACAAATGTGTACCGGTGAACAAATGTGTGAGTGCAAACATAAAAATTGCTGCGCTGCCTCTCCAAAAGACCGCTTTAAATAAATAAATGAATGAACTCCCTACTACACAAAGGGTCCCCACAAATGTGCATGTGCTATAATGCCCCGTGGGCTGGCAATTATATCCCTCAGTTTACTTATTGGTTTATTTGGGATTTAGTCACTGGGGAGGAGGGATATAATTGCCAGCCCACGGGGCATTATAGCACATACACATTTGTGGGGACCGTTTGTGTAGTAGGGAGTTCATTTATTTATTTAATTAATTATTTATTATTATATAAGTCCTTTTTGGGAGAGGTCAGCGCAGCAATTTTTATGTTTTTAAATGTCACAATATGCTAGTATGCACAGCCTACTAGCACATTATGACAGACTTACCTTTTAAACGGAGCCCTCCAGCAGCACGCTGTCATTGATGTAGGCACGTGACCCAGTCTTCCATCCGGGTTTGCAATCTCTGACCGTTTAAATACCTGGGCTGCGATGATGTCACTCCCGTTACACAGGAGTCACGATCTTGGCGTAGCACTCTCTGCATTGGCACACTATGGATACCTTAGTGGATCAGTTCACTTTATAATCTGAGTGATTGGTTTATTTATTCACTGTATTGCACTGGGGGCAATATTAGTCACTTATTAGTTTGGTATGAACTATTTTGGATGATTTAAATCGGTTTTGCGCATTTTATTCTATTTTTATTTTATTTATTGTTTATTGGCATGCTACATCATTTATTGTTTTTTTTTTTATCTGATTTTTTTGGGATAAGATAGTGTGGGATTACGGTATTATTTGGGGTAGCGCTGCACCATATCATTTTATATTTTGCACAATATCCATTTGGTATATGGTTGGGTGTTAGTAGCCCCCTTGCCTTAATTATCATTATTTTATTTTGAGTAGTGCAGGAGGTCTATATCGTTTTATTTATACTCTTTGCATTGACACTCTAAATGCTGAGCGCACTGTGCATGTGCAGGGCTGTAACTGACAGGAGTGGAAGTGAATGTCTCCTGAATTATACATGTTTAGGGGGATATTCACTGTTCCTACAGATAAGCCTTATAATAACCTTACCTGTGATTGCAAGTTAAAAAAAAAAAAAAAGTTAACTGCCACTTTAATGCAGAGAATGCATTAAGCCAAGAACCACTTCAAGGTATAATGCAATTTTTGAATCAATGTACTTCAACTACATCAAACTGAATGCTGTATACCTTATTCTACAAACAGTGACAGGAAGTCATATTCTCTTTGATGGTGTTTTTTTTACTGTAGCTGTCAATGTTTTTTTTTAGCGAGACCTATGGCTTTACACAAAGGAATAATAGAATATAAATAGAGAAAATTTACTTTTCGCTACTAAAGTTGTTTTCTGTAGAGATTGCATCTGTTATTATAGTAAATTATACCTTTTTAGCACATCGTGACTTTTTATAAATTGCTCTCAAAGCGTTGCATCTATTAGCTTAGAATGATACTTAATATCTTGTTACTCACTTGAAAGCGTGACAACGAGCCATCTAAATGACTATAGAATATCTGATGAAAAACAGTTGAAGTATACAGTTGTGCTGAAAAGAGTTTGCATACCCTGGCAGAAATTGTGAAATTTTGGCATTGATATTGTAAATATGACTGATCATGCCAAAAAATGATCTTTTATTGAAGGATGATGATCATATGAAGCCATTTATTATTTATTATCAAATAGCTGTTTGGCTCCTTTTTTAAATCATAATGATAACAGAAATCACCCAAATGGCCATGATCAAAAGTTTACATAACCTGGAATGTTTGGCCTTGGTACAGACACACAAGGTGACACACACGGGTTAAAATGCCAATTAGAGGTTAATGCCCCACATCTGTGGCTTTTTAAATTGCAATTAGTGTCAGTGTATAAATAGTCAATGAGTTTGTTAGCTCTTACATGGAAGCACTGACTAGGCTAGATACTGAACCATGGGGATCAGAAAAGAACAGTCAAAAGTCCTGCGTAACAAGATAATGGAACTTTATAAAGATGGAAAAGGACATAAAAAGGTGTCTAAAGCCTTGAATATGCCAATCAGTACTGTTAAATCACTTATTAAGAAGTGGAAAGTTTGGGGATCTCTTGATACTAAGCCAAGGTCAGGTAGACCAAGAAAGATTGCAGCTATAACTGACAGAAGAATTGTCCGGGATTCAAAGAAAAACCCACAAGCAACCTCAAAAGAAATACAGGCTGCTCTGGAAAAAGATGGTTGGTGGTTGTTTTGAAGGAGCACAATATGATGACACTTGAACACAAAAATGAGCTGCATGGTCGAGGTACCAGAAAGAAACTTTTACTGCATCAATGACATATCAATCAGTTGATTTCTGTTATTGCCAATGCAAAAAATATAAGTCTTAAAATATAAGAAGTGATCTGTAAGTTTTAAGGCACACTGACCCCAACTCCTAAAATGTGTTCAGCTCTGATACTTTCATAGTGTGTCATTCATGAAAAGTGTATGATTTAAAAAGCAATTTCACACAGAGAAATGCCCTTACAAGATTAAAGGGTAAATAAGACCAGGCTGTGAACATTAACTAGTTGCTGATATGTACTGCGGGCGAGTGGCAGCTACAGGCTATGTGAATGCGCACATCCATAGGACGCAGTGAGTCGCTATGCGATCACATGATCACAAAGTCAACCAATCTGTTATGAATGAATTTCATTCATTACAGCTGTGTTTCCTATAGTGAGATGTAATTGGCCCACAGCTATCACTAGGTACCATTCACAGCACCTTGTACCATATGGTAGCTGGTGCCAATCACAGATCACAATGGTAAAATCGCAGCTGTTATGAATGTAACCCAATGAAGTTCACTGTAAAAGCAATCAAAGTGAAAAAAAAAAAAAAAAACATCCTCCCAGTGTTGTAGTGTTCCTATGGTGACACTGAACTACTCTGATGAAAGTCTTTAAAAAAAAATTTTTTTAATTTTTTTAAAATGTTAACAAAGATAAAATGTAAATAAAATTTTTAAAAAAATTGAATAGAAAATGGTTAAAAAAAATTATTTTTATTTTTTTACATACCGTCACCAGTTAGTGTCCCAGATCACTGCCACACCAGTTATATGATGACGCTGAACTGCCCTGGTGACAGTACGTTAAAAAAAAATTGTGAAAAAAAAAAAAGTTTTTATTGATTTCTTAATTTTCTAAAAAATTGTGTCAAAAATTACAACTTTAAAAAACTTGCCATGCCTCCTACTAAATACCCCATTCTGTCTACTTTCCAAACAGGGGTCATTTAGAGGGTATTTGTACTGTCCTAGAATTTTTAGGTGCCTCAAGAAAATGTGATCGGCCATCAGTACATCAGGACTAATCAATTTTCAAATATATATATACCATAGTTTGTAGATGTTATAGCTTTCACACAAAAACCAATTAATATACAGGTATTGGGATTTTTTTTCCCAAAAGACATGTAGCAGAACACATTTTGCCTTAAATTAATGAAGAAATTAGATTATATATTTTTTTATTGGATATGTTTTTTATAACAGAAAGTAGAAAATATTGTTTTTTTCTTTCAAAATTTTCATTCTTTTTTCATTTATATCCCCAAAAATAAAAAAAAAATATGGTGATCAAATACCACCAACAGAAAGCTCTATTTGTGTGAAAAAAATATAATTATATAAATATCATTTGTGTACAGTTTTGCATGACCATGCACTTCGACGTTAAAGTAGCGTAGTGCGGAATAACAAAAAAAATGGCCAGGTCATGAAGGGGGTAAAACCTTCTAAAGCTTAAGTGGTTAAAGCATTTATTTATATATTTAAAAGACACAATAAATTGGCTCACTGACCTCTGCAGATGCAAGTACCGTGGAGCAATTCATCCTCAAATTACAAAGCAGAAGCACCAAAGTAGTTCAAGTCCATTATCTCAGCAGCTTAGCTCCCCCCTTCTTCCCTCTTCCAGAGTTCCTGTTCTGTATTTACATTAAAGCTTAGAGGCCTGGAAGGCTGTGGAGCCACTGCTGGGAACTGAGCTACTGAAAGAACAACATAAACGACTGTAGTGCTTTTGTTTTGAACTTTGATGATTAATTGCTCCATTGTGTTTGCAGCTACAGAGGTCAGTGTCAAAGCGCATTCAATTTCTTGTTTAGAATATGTAAATATTTAAATGTCAAGTCTAACCTCAGTTATACTTTAAAAACTAGCATTGAAAAGAAAATTCATCATTCTATATGATTGATTTGCTAAAGAAAAAATGGGAGAGGTTTACTTAGCTCAGTTAATAGGATGTAGCTGTGTTCACTTCAGTTATGTGCAAGCAAAATTGGCCATATAAATTATATATGTTGTCCCCTCACCACCTGCTTGAACCCTCAGAATGCCAACCCATCATGCCACAATTGTGTGCATTCCCTTAGGCCTCAATTATAACTTGTTTTTTCATTTCCCTTGCACATGATTTGGTATTCAAAGGGGAAAACAGCTTCCCCAGTACATTTTGTACTTTTGTAGTAAATCAACCCTTTAAGTCAGGGGTGGGCAACTGTGGCCCTCCAGCTGTTGTAGAACTACAAGTCCCATAAGGCATTGCAAAACTGACAGTTACAACCATGACTCCCAAAGGCAGAGGCATGATGGGACTTGTAGTTCACCAACAGCTGGAGGGCCACAGTTGCCCCCCCCCCCCCCCCCCGCTTTAAGTGGTCATGTGATTTCCTATAAACACACGTTACTTAAACACGTTACTCCCTGATCCACGTAAAAAACTATTAGTAACATTCAGAAATACATATACAAAACAGGAGAAATATCGGTATGTAATTCCCAGAAATAAACAAATAAATCTGTACACACCTTTCCATTGGCTTTTTGAATCTGAAGTTGATCAAATTCAAGTAATTTCTTCCAGTCCTGGCGTTTAATAAAGTAGAAAACTTCCTCATATGTAAGGTCCAGTCGGTAATTAAAATCGCCCACACCAAAATACATAATCATGTGAAAAAACATTTCTTCCCTTGAATAATAATAAAAAAAAAAAAGAAATGTACCTAGTGTCATTTTTTTCAAAGTTAATTTCATTGCATAGACTAAACACCATAGGGAGCTGACTGCTAGCTAGGCCATATAAGTTATTTGTTGCCCCCTCACCACCTGCTTGAACCCTCAAAATGCCAACCCATCATGCCCCAATCATGGGCATTGCCTTAGGTCACAATCAGGGGCGGACTGACCATTTGGAAACTCGAGCACTGCCCGAGGGCCCGTGGTCAGTAGGGGACCCCATGAGATGCCCCTGGTACCTTTTTCATAGGCTTTTTTTGAGTTTGTGCAAGGACACAGGGGCCTTATGATCTCCTATTGCCCGGGGGCCCCATGAGTTGTCAGTCCACCCCTGGTCACAATTATAACTTGTGGTTGGGGGGCAGAACCATGTTTTTATGCCCTCATACACTTAAGCTGCAAAGGTTGCTGATGATGGGGGTGTACATGCACGACGCTACTGTTATTTTAGGGATTAAAGCAGATGGTGAAGAGGCATCATGTTGCCTCCCTGACACCTGTTAAAAGGCCTGTGAAAAGAGATCCTCTGCGGATCGCTCTTCAGAGGGCAACACCACTATAAAAGAGACCTTAAGTTAGGCAGCCAACCATCTGAATGAGCCCTAACATTGCTAAATTTTCCACATTCATTCCAGCATTGTACTTGCAGATGTCACTGCAATGTACCACTCACCATAGGGAAGCTTAATTTCTGTGTGATTTCTTTGTAATCCTCATTCCGTTCTTTCACCTGGGTCTGCCCAGCAGTAAAGTGGCTACATATAAAGCAAAAACTTGTGCTGTAGAACTGGAAACGTATGGCTACTGCTCCTTTGTTGCCAGCTTTTCCTCCCATACCAGTCTTAACAGTGTCTACTGCCAAGTCTCTGTAAGAGAAAGAAGGTATAAACAACCTAAGAAGTCATAAGAAAAGTGTACATCTGAAAATAAGACACCGTAGGGCAGCCTTTACCAACCTTTTTACCACAAAAGAACCCTTGAGATAATTTTTGGGTCTACGAAAACCCTAGCAAAAACAAATTTATTGCTGGTCAGTGGGAAAAATGCATCCTACATTGATGGCTAGTGAGAAGAATGCCCCCCTTACAGTGGTGGTCAGAATGCCATCCTTTCAGACAGCTAAAAAGATGAAAGGTGTCATCATGCAGCTGACTCTGCCAAGTGGTGTTTGCCCTGCAACTGTGCAGGTACCATCAAATGGGAGGTCAATCAGCCACAGCTCAAGAAACCTGTCTGAGCCTTACTCTTAGAACAGTAAGAATGTGGAACTGCCTTCCAAATTTAGTGGTGTCAGCAGGGAGAGTGTCGATAATTGAACCACTTGCCCTTCTGAGGATTTACCCCCCTTCCTGACCAGGACATTTTTTGCATTAAGGCGCTGCATTACTTTAACTGACAGTTGCGCGGTCATGCAATGCTGCACCCAAATGACATTAACATCCTTTTTTTCCAACAAATTTAGCTTTCTGTTGGTGGTATTTGATTGCCTGTGCGGTTTTTATGTTTTTGTGCTAAAAGCAAAAAAAGACCGACAATTTTGAAAAAAAAAAAAACAATCATTTGGACTTTTTGCTAATAAACATGTCCAGTAAAAAAAAAAATAAAAAAATAAAATTTCGTCATAAATTTAGGCCAAAATGTATTCTGCTACATGTCTTTATTAAAAAAAATCTCTATAATTTAATTTGTTTACGTGAAAGTTATAGCGTTTACAAATGGCAGTATAGATAATGGGATTTTTTTCCCTACTAGTAATGGCAGCGATCAGCGACTTTTAGCGGGACTGCAGAGGACATTCTGACACTGGGGGGGAACTAACTTGGTGTCAGTGACACCAATACAGTGATCAGTGCTAAAAAAAAAGCACTGACACTGTACTGACACTGGGCAGGAAGGGGTTAATGTGAAGGGCGATCAAAGGGTTAACTGTTTGCTGGGAGTGTTTTACTAAGGGGCAGGGGGTGTGTTCTTCGCTGTAAGCATACTGATCGGGATGGCTATACTGTGTACAGCCATCCCGATCAGTGTGCTCAAGCTGACAGGGAGGAAGATTGTTTGTAAACAAAATAATCTTCCTCCCCGTCGGAGGTACTCGATAAGCACTGGGCGCCGGCGGGTAATCTAGAAAAGCAAAAAAAGACCGACAATTTTGAAAAAAAAAAAAACAATCATTTGGACTTTTTGCTAATAAACATGTCCAGTAAAAAAATAAAAAAATAAAATTTCGTCATAAATTTAGGCCAAAATGTATTCTGCTACATGTCTTTGTTAAAAAAAATCTCTATAATTTAATTTGTTTACGTGAAAGTTATAGCGTTTACAAATGGCAGTATAGATAATGGGATTTTTTTCCCTACTAGTAATGGCAGCGATCAGCGACTTTTAGCGGGACTGCAGAGGACATTCTGACACTGGGGGGGAACTAACTTGGTGTCAGTGACACCAATACAGTGATCAGTGCTAAAAAAAAAGCACTGACACTGTACTGACACTGGGCAGGAAGGGGTTAATGTGAAGGGCGATCAAAGGGTTAACTGTTTGCTGGGAGTGTTTTACTAAGGGGCAGGGGGTGTGTTCTTCGCTGTAAGCATACTGATCGGGATGGCTATACTGTGTACAGCCATCCCGATCAGTGTGCTCAAGCTGACAGGGAGGAAGATTGTTTGTAAACAAAATAATCTTCCTCCCCGTCGGAGGTACTCGATAAGCACTGGGCGCCGGCGGGTAATTACCGTCCGGGGCCTGGTGAATGACATCTGTGGCTGCGAATGGCGGCGTGCCCCCTACCCGGAAATGTAGAATGACGTATATATATATATATATATATATATATATATATACACACACGATTCTGCGCACAGGTGCCGCCCTGTAGCAGTATACCTGCTATAGGGTGGTCCTTAAGTGGTTAAAAAAACTCCTAGATGAGCATCTTAGCGAATGCAATATACATATGGGAAATGGTAGAGACATAAATACATACACATGGATACACCCACACCCTCTCAGGTTGAACTGGATGGACTGATGTCTTTATTCAACCTTATCAACTATGTAATTATGAACCCCTAGCAACTCCTGGAGGAACCCTAGGGTTCCACAGAAACCTGGTTGAGAATGCCTGCTGTAGGGGTGGGAGATGCTGAGTATTGTATGTGCACTAACATTTTACACATATCAGCATATTGATGAATGTTAGCTAGGAGTTCAGAATAAAGAAACTCTTTGCAGTCAAATGTACAATAAAATATATAAAACCAACCATGTTTTTGTAGCACCCTCCTAATTAGCTAGGGGGAACTAGAGTTCTGATTGTTAGAGAAGAGGCTGAGTAGCAGCCTGGGTGCAATAGTCAGGAGGACAAATTGTGGTCAGGGCTGAGAGGCTCTACAGGCCATCCCCTCTGGAATTTCTCCCAGCTCTAGAAGCAGTGGGTAGATCTGAGGAGTGTCTGGCTTGTACTCTTAAGGGATCCTGGCCAATCCCCAACAGGAGGCTTGGCAAGGGGCCAGGCCAACCTTTAAAAGTGATTGAGCCTGTTCAGCTGTGAGGGGAGAGTTCGGGTGGAAGACAAAGAGGAAGATGTAAGGCTGAAGGCAGGAGTCTGGGAGGATGCCCGGATGGAGAGAGGGGCTCACTCACAGGTGGTGGAGCGTGGAAGGACAAAAACTTGGGACTTCACTGGCCCCCTGAGAGAGGACCACCTGAAAATGTGCATTGCTTGGCTGTGCAGGGCTAAAAGGGGGGTTAGTGCTACATTTAGGTGATAGCTTCTTTATAGAGTCTATGAGGTATGTATTGACAGCCACACAACTTATATTATCAGAAGAAAATGACAGCACTCTCAACACTTTTCTCTTTTTATGATGACACTGCTTTTAAAAACATGAACCACAACTTCTTTTATGTTTATGTCTTCTATTTGTCCCTTCTATTTTAACCTTGCCTTACCACAAATTTCCTTACCATGCGCATACATCCCCTAGGATATTTTGTTTTACAACCCACATTTGACTCCATAATGTGATGGGTTATTCTAAAAGGTATTAGATACCATCACTACCTTACTTATGTTACATGTTGTACATCCTGTTTTAAATCCTATTTACTCAATGTTCCCTCCAAAGTTTAGTTTAATCTCTTAGATGTTATTCATTTCTGCCCACATTGCTTTGTCATATCACTTTGTAATATTTATTTTGTCAAATGCATTAACAATATTATTATCTTTGCCATGCTGGTTCTAAATGTCACATTTTTACACACCCATTTAGCTGCCCACTACTTGTCATACAGTATGTCACTGTGCCTCATAAATTAAAGGATACGTTAACTTAAAAAAATAAATAAATAAATGCACATCTTTTTGCTGGTAAAAAAAATGTGCATTTATTATTTTTCTTATTAGGAGCCTGAAGAACATTGCACCCGTGGTCAGAAGATGGCGGGTGTAATGCAGAGCTCCTGCAGACTGTCAGTGCAAGCAGTCTACTCGTAACTTGTATGGACAGGCAGTTACACAATGACAGGAATAATCAATGAACTGCCTAGAACACTCACAGTGCCCTGGTAGTTCAATCAGAACTACAAGCCGTCAGCTGCAAAAGCTGACGGTAGTTGTAGCACCCCCATTCACAGAACTCTGTGAATGAATGACACAGCCGGGTGGGCAGAGCCTCTCATGGCCCCTTCTTTTAAAACTGTGACTGCGTTTGCCTACTGTGAGCCCATATCTTGGGAATATGGACTGAGGCTTTGTGGCTAATTCACACCATCTGTATCTCAACCCTATGGGCCATTGCCCTTCATTGGAAGTTGTCTATGGTACCACTGGCCTCAGTTTTACGAAGAGTTGATGCGATGTTGCTCATGGAACGTATTCACTATATGTTACTGGATAGGATGCACTTATTTGACAAAAAATGGGATGTTTGGAAACTCATAGACATTTAGGGGTTTATTTACTAAAGCTGGAGAGTCCAAAATCAGACTCCCTTCTGCATAGAAACCAATCAGCTTCTAACCTCAGTTTGTTCAATGAAGCTTTGGCAATGAAACCTGGAAGCTGATTGGTTTCTGTGCAGAAGTGAGTCTGATTTTGCACTCTCCAGCTTTAGTAAATAAACCCCTTACTGTCTGACCAATGAATATCCATGATTTAATTGATAGTGTTTTCTGTTGGTTGCCTTATTGTTCTGCCTACCTTACTCATGTACTTAACTTTTATGTTCTACATGACTGTACCTTATTGGAATGAATATTACAGATGTGCCTTTTTTCCTGTTGCATGTTATACTTTATGTCGTTAAGCTGCTGTTTTTGCAGCCTATTTCTTAATAGATAAAAACAGGTGTGACACCCCTTATGACTAAGTCCCGGATGTGACGTCGGACGCACAGGAGAGGAACCGGAAGTGGCACGTCGCCCATTTTGGAGACTGGAAACCACATGTCAAACACATTGGAAGCTGCTCGGAAACCCTGAGAGGTTTGAAGGGCATGGGAATATGCTTTTTATTCATTTTAACATTGTAAGCAGTTAAATAAAGTATACAATTTAACATTTTACAAAAGCGGAATTACACTATATATTTCATTCATATATCACTTGCATGAGCACTCTGGAGTCCTATGAAATGCTTCCTTAACCACTTCCAGACCGGACACTTTTACCCCCTTCCTGACCAGGGCAATTTTCAGCTTTCAGCGCTATCACACTTTGAATGACAATTGCGCAGTCATGCAACACTGTGCCCAAATTAATTTTTTACCATTTTTTTGAGACAGATAAAGCTTTATTTTGGTGGTATTTATTCACCACTGGGATATTTATTTTTTTTGCTATGTAAATGAAAAAGTCCAAAAAT